TGCTGAGCCTTGAGCAGTAGTTTATGCACTGTAATTTCTTGTAGTAGATTTAACTACTCTCTTGGGAAAGTAATCTCTGAAGTTTAAATACTGCTTTCACTGACCATGCCAGCTCTGCATGACGTGTAAAGAGAAACCAAGTGTGCTGTGACCCCCTCCAAACTTAAGGACTGTCTTCTACATGATGCTAACCCGGTGTGTGGTGGTGGTGAGATGCACTTACTCTTAGATAACCATTCTGCCTTGAACTGAGGTGGGCTGGGGCACTGCGCGGCATCTGGAACCCCTGCATGGCCACAGTCTCCGTTCATGCTCTGACTTTGGTGTTTTTTTGTTTTTTTTTTTTCTTTCTGCCTTGGTGTGCTGGGATCGGATCCTGCTTACCTTCCTCTCCTTACAGAGATCCTGATATAGACGCCAGATTGGGAATGTAACAGGGCTGGGTCTTCTCTTCCAGTCCCACTAGACACCATGGTAACTAATCAAGTTGGTGGTTGCTGTTAATACCTGTGTGTATGTGTACACATTTCCTCTTCCTTTGCTGACTAACCAGCTAGCTCTCTACTAACATAACTTCTCTGTAATTTGTGCTGGAATCTGTGGGCAAAGGGATGATGCATTTCACTGGGTGCTTGGGTTTCATTGTCTCATGTCTAGCTGGGGTGGGATTGCTGCTTATCCCGGATGGTGTCCCTCCATCTCTTCCAACAGTGAACTTGCTAGTGCATTGACTAAGGCACAGGAAATTCAGAGCCCTTTCTGTGTCAAAACAAAAGTAAATTCCCTGTAAGTGTTCCTCTGGCTCAGACAGTTCGGGTGTTTGACAACTTGCAGTGATCTAAGTGCATTAGTTGCTTAAACCTGAACTGTGAATTTTAGATAGTGTAGATCTGAGGAATTTTGTGAATAAAGCAAACAATTCATGATTACATCATTTCGGTAACAGAAGGGCTGCTTTGTCTCTGAGACAGTAGAAGCCCCTTGCTGTGATGGCTGGGGGCAGTATTTTTTTTTTTCTTACTGTTGCATGTATGAGGAGCTAAGTCTTCTATGGTTAGACTTACCAAAGGATAAAAAATTATTGCCCTGTGAGGAGGTGGTCTGCTTAATGTCACTGTACTCATTTGTTTGTTTCTGTACTTGCTTTGTACACTGTCTGTCTACAAAGATTGGGGGAAAAGGATGCCCAGTGGTCAGACGGTTGTGGTAGCAAAGGGAACTCCCGTGTCTGCTGTCAAGGAGGTGGCTAGTTTTCTTTCCTGGGTGCTTGCGTACGAGGAGGTAGACCTAGCATTTAGAGACCCATTACTGCATTGCCCAGAAGCTACTAACCTTAAGTTTAAGGGCATTTGCTCATATACTTAGCTCTGTGGTATTCATTTCTCTGTCTGTCACAGGCTTGTTTTCTTTTCAGTCCTGCTTTAAGCAGATGAAAGAAGCAAACAGAGAGTAAAAACTGGCAACCTTCTTTTAGGGGTGTTGGTTCTTACCACAAGACAGTTTTCTTGTTTGAAAACCAAGACTTGCCTGATTAGATATTCAAGTAGCTATATCAGGGCACATAGCTTAGATGTCACATGTGACTCTCAAAGTAATTGCTTCAGAGATTAGTGTCTGTTGTGAGTGGGCGGAATTATTTTGGGATCGTAGCCTAACCAAAAGCGAGGGAAATAATGCGGAGTTTGGTAAGGAAGTACCTTTCTGGTATGGAGTGCTGGTGGCTCTTGCAAGTGTTTGCTCTAACTGTAGCACTGGTGTAACACTTGCCTCAGTGACTATTTAGCTTATAGTTAGAAGATAATCGCTGTTTACCACTGTTAACTGAGTCTGAAGCCTCAGTGAAGAAAACACATATGGTTTTAGACAGGTTGGGTTGAATGGGAATATCTAGGGAACAGGGGTTTTGGAGGAGCTGCTGTCCTCTGTTAATGGTTGGTCCTTCATGTTGCTTACCAGTGAGACTGTGGGAGGAAGGATAGAGAAATGTCTGGGGAGAGATGGAGAATTATATGTGTTTATTTCAGAATCCATTGTGTTCATTTTTACTTTGGCATAATCTGCCACATTCATCTTGCCATCACTCGTTTTTTGTTTTTGTTCTTTTTTTTTTTTTTGTGCCTCTTGAACATTGTCGTGCAAACTCTGCTCTGCCACCTCGTCAGCTGCAGTACATCTGAGAGCTTGATGTCACCGGTTAAGCAGGCTCCGCAGAAGTCGCCCTCCGACACAGAGGGTCTGGTAAACAGCGTGCCCGCCAGATCACACCAGGTAAACTGCTTCCTGCTGCTTCCCGAAGCAGGATCCTCCCGGAGTGTGGGGGAGATGGTATGGAAAAGATAAAAGGCAGGGTGGGACACATGCATTAGGTGCTGTCTGTTAAGGTGATGGGGGGGGGGGTGTGGTAAAAGTGTCTGCTCAGAACAAGGGATGAGCAGTAAGCTGGGACTGGTGAACTCTTCCATAGAAGGCTTAATGTGATTGAAAGAATAGCGTCTTGATATTAGTTGAGATGGAGTTTTATGCCCTTTTTGTAATAATGTATAAAAAAAGATGGTTGTGATCTTGTGCGTTACACAAGTGGTAGTGAAGCGCAAGGATGAGAGCCTGGCAAGGATGAGGAGTGGGCAGTGGGTAGCTGTTTAACGTAGAGACAACATTATCTACTAGATGTGTAATCACCCCATAAAGCTGCCTAATCTGTTCTAGGATTGTAATGGGGAGGAATTTTACTTACTCTCTCGTCACTGTGAAGGTGCAGGCTCTGTGGCATGTACTTCTCAAGGAAATGAGCCGGCACAGTGCAAACACTGACCAGTGATGATCAGTTTGAAGGTGACTCTTGCTACTGAGAGCTCTCCTCTGCTGAGCCACCCAACTTTTGTGGGCTTGAAATTGCCACAAATTGCTTTGTCTTGTGCTTGCTGCTGTTGGCGAAGTTCTGCTGACTTTGAAGGAAAAAGGTGGCTCTTATCCAGACTTAACATCCCATGGGAAATTAGTCAGAGGGGAGAGAGCATATGAGTCAGACAGGGATTCTGTACAATATATGATTACCTGTTAGCAGTGTACAGGATTTCCGTATTTGTAAGCAGTTTCTTACTTCTTGATTTGTGTATTCCCAGCAATTTTCCTGTGGAGGTACGGATCCTGGGTGAGTTTAAGTCTGAAATGGATTTTTTCTTAATTAGCCACCTTTTAGCAAGTGGCTACAGAGTAGTGTGTGGACTGGCGGGTTTCTAAATCAGAGTTAGTACCTGGTTTCGTAATTTCTCCTGACAAAATAATGGAGATGCGTGTTAATGTGTTAACACTACAGGAAAAAAATACGGTGCTGACAGTGAGCTGGGTAAAGTCAAAGTCCCTACTCTGTTGGGCTTCACAGTCTGGTTTTGAAATGCATCTTGTTCTTGGCAGGTGTAGTATTTCCAGAGTTTTAGGCCACAGGCCCACAAAGCTACCTACTGACTTCAGAGAACAGTTATTCTCTGAACATAAAGGCAATACACTCAAGTTATAAGATTTAAAAATAGATCAGATTTTGACTGGAGTGGGTCTAGTCGCAGCAGGCTGCCTATAAGGCCTAGATAAAGCTCCTCTTCTAGTTCATGGGAGGGCCTTCTAGAATGGGTGAATGAGACAGCTG